ATTTGATTTACATTTTAACATATAGCAGATTTACGCACATCTACGCCCAGAGTGCCAACTTTCGATTCTAGAATCCAATCCTTCCGATCACCTACGCAAATGGGACTTACCACAGACATTAGTTTGCAACATTTCTCTGCTAAACATAGCGGATTGTATTTGTATGTGGGAAGAATACTTCGTCCTATATGGAATGTAAGATGTATAAAACAAGAAACAATAAGTAATAAAAACGTGGTAAGTAATTTTAAAGAAATATTATTTTACGTAATTTTTTTTTTTAATATTTCCTCGATTGTCTATTCTGAAACAAATTATGTGTTATTTTTATTTTTGAAATTTTAATATTTATAAATTATAAGTATTATTTTATTCAGATTTCCAGTACAGTACCAGCAACACAGATTACTTGGATCTTAGGTCATTTGCAAGCACTTAGATCTTTCTTAAATAGAAATACACATATCACAAAACAGTATGTATTTTCTAAAACATGATTTTTTTATATAATAACATATATGTATGATATGATTTTATTAGATTATAATAAGCTAATTAGGAAGTCAATTAAAACAAAGTATATATATATATATACAGACAAAACACAAGTAGTGGTTTAACAGACGGTTTTGAAACAACGATGCAAAGTCATTTTCAAGAACCAATTGTGGAAGAAAGAAACTCCTTGGATGCTTTAAAAGTTTTTATTACGCATGCATGTGAGGTTTTGGGTTTATGGAAAATATTATGCGAAAATCAGCTAAATAATATCATCAACTGTCTATCAAAAGTAATTTAATTTTTTTTTATTAGTTAAGTTTATTGAAAGATGATTAGTTTCTTTATTTTCAAGCTAAATCAAAATGTTGATCTTTCAGGATCAAATTACTCAATTTTCTACAGCCACCTTCAGAGATTTGATTTTAATAGGCCACGAAATATCTTCTCTACTCATCGTTCATTTGATTGATAGGTAAGTTTATAAATTTTATACAAATTTCCAATAATTTACAGTTAATATTTTACAGTTATCTTGGGGATAACGCATCAGTGGATTCCGTAAGTGCAAAATTAAGAGAAGTCTGTCCCAATTTATATAGAACTGAAGATGCTGTTTGCTCCAAGGTAACATGAATATCATCTTTTTTTTTTAATAAAAGTTACAATCTTATCAATATTTATATGATATAAGAAATTATATTATAGTATAATAATTATGACCATTTTCGTAAATTTAGGCAAACGAAATTCTCCTGAAAGCAAAGGGGTGCACAAATCCCGAGGATAAAGAATGTTATCTTCAGTCTGCTTTAATGGTACGTATAATATCGTCTGTCCAACAAAAGATAATATTTAATTTTACTTATTTATTAAATATTTACACAGCTTTGTAAAGAGGTAGCACCGAGGTTGAATCTGAATGCAGTGTGCCAACAATTTGTCGCATGCCAGTTCTACACAGGTGTACTTGAATTGTGTATTTGTTGTGCAGAAAGGATAGATCCCAACAACGCTGCTTCACATTATTATAAAAATAATGAGCCTATAGAAGATCAAGAAGGAAATCTCGCTTTTACGAAACGGTATACAACAACAGAATATATCTTTATGGATAACAATAAATAATAATGTAATATATTTTTATATTATTTACAGTTCAGAGATTTATAAGGAATTTACCACGATGTTAGATCACTTGTATCACCAGAGCATCTCTAATCCTTTAACGCCAACTATACCGAGCAAGCCAGGACCTCCTTTACAAACAACATCAAATGCTGTTGTAATACCGGCGAAAGAAATTGTATGTAATATAAATTTGTTTGTATATTTGAAATGTATTATAATATTAATATCTTTTTTAGTTACATGAGATCATAGACGATGCACTACATGCACCATGTGAGACTCTTCATTCCTCGATTTATACTTGGATGATAGACAGAGGGCTTCACGGTGAATTAGTTGCTTTTGCTGCACCTTCGTTAGAAACTTATCTCAACCGTGTCAATGCGCCTGAATTACTTTGGCAGTTTTATGAAAGAAACAAAAATCATGCTGCTGCAGCAAAGATCTTGGATTCTTTGGCTACCAAAGTCGGGTATGCATATATATTGCTTGTAATATATATAATCTTTTGATAAAGATATTAAAATTTATTTATTTTTTTTATAGAGCGGAAATATCGCTCTCAAAAAGAGTCGAATATTTAGCACGTGCGGTTGTATGTATGCGAAGCGATCAAACTGGATATGCTCCTTACCTTGGAATTTTCTTACGCGAATTAGAAGATAAATTAGAAGTAGCTAGAATGCAACAGCAGGTACATATTTTAAGCTGTTAATCATAAATTCAATACTCTACAAAGTGGAACATCTATAATTTTACGATTTAAATCTTTCTTTTATATATACAATAATTGAAAAATATCTTAAAAAGAAAAAAAAATATAGATTGTAAAGTTTGTGCCGTTCATATTCTAATATTTAAATAAATTTAATATATTATTTATTATATTAATTATATTAATTAATAATTGTTTTCTCAAATGTTTAACAGATACTTGAGATTATCAGTAATCAGCAAAACCTGTTCGATTCGATGATAGTTACAGATGCAAAATTGAGATTAAATTCTTCATTACTTGATATTACACAGGTTTGTAATTTTGACAAAAGTATATTATTTTTCATTTAAATCTTATTTCTTCCTGAGATTATTATATACAATATTAATTACAGTTATATGAAGATTATGCAGAGCCTTTACAACTTTGGGAATGTAAACTAGCTATTATTCACTGCTCGGGTCATCAAGATGACATGTTAATTAAAGGAATTTGGACCAATATAATTGATAATGGTATACAGTTCGCATATTTATAATATTTTAACAATAGTTTTCTTAACTTTCTAATGAATGCTTAATGTTCATAGAATTAGAAAATGCAACGGAACCATCGAATGAGGATAAAATAACTATTTTAATGTGCAAAATTAAAGTACTTGGTCAAGAATATATCGGATCACCGCATTGTTTTCCAATTGGTAATTATATTTTATATTTATTTGATTTTATATTGATAATAAAATTTTATGTTAATATTTCTCTCAATTTGGTTTAATTTTTCGTTTTAGATTTTTTAGTAAAACAATTGGAAATGAAAGCATGTAAATATAAAGTAACTAATACTAGTATTATAACTTCTTTCTTGGAATTAGGAGTAGCAATGGAAGATCTTTTAGATATTTATGATAAGTAAGTATATTAATTGCAAAATTTCGGCGTACCGAAAAAATTGCAAAATATTTGTTTCATGCTCAAATTATCTGTTTTTAGAATGATTGGTAAAAATACCCGTATTTGGTTAAATGAAGGTAACGAATTTCACTTGATCGAATCAACAGCGAACTTGGTAAATCATTTCATAAAAAACATGACTGTAACAAACAATTTTGTCAGGTGTGTATTCTTTATAATCTCGATTATAATTCTTTGTACTTCATATTGCAGAGATTAGAAATATACTAACACAAAAATCAGATTTTTTAAATTTAAATATTTTAAACAATATTAAATATTTTATTTTAAAACAAAAAAGAAGAAAGCGCACAAAATATAATTTGATTTAAATAAAAATAAGTAAATGTTTTTATTTTTAATTTTAATCAAAGTCATAATGTTAAACTTGATACTAATTCAAAATTTCCTTTACTGCAGGAGAAAGATAATAACAAAGTGTCAAGATGTTATTTCGAAATGTTTAACAACTCTCTTTAGTAAACCTAATGGTGGAGAACTCGAAAGAGAAATAACAAATTTGCGTTCAATTCAAAGTATATTGAATCGTATGTAAAGCAACTTTAATATGTACATGAAGAAGAGTGTATACATGTATATTCACGTTATCATGAAAAAGAAGAAAACTTCGTAACTTCTAAGTTATTTGATATTTTTTTCTGACATAAAAGCAGTTATTTATGGTACTATCATTAAATAAATTAATTGCTCAACTTTTATGAATGTTTATCAAGAAATAAAATTTACACAATTTATTCCAGGTAGACTACTACTGAACAATCTTTTACAAATTTGTAAATTCTAACAATACTGTATACTAAATAATAATATAATGTCAAATATATATACATATATATATATATATGATGTATGTATCTAAAATTACTCCCTCATTTATGTAGCATTTCATATAAAATATTAAATACGCTTTATACTTACATTAAGTCAAAGCTGATGAAATAAAGTTGTAAAGTTAGAAACGCTAATTTTATACAAGACGTAAATAATGATATAATATAAGATAATATTTAAATATTATATACAAAAGATGACCAAATTTAAGTCATAAATTTGGAGATGCAGTAAAATACTAATTTGAAAAGTATATTTATTATCTTCTACATTTTTTTAACTTAATTTGATTCTAATAATATAGAAGTTATTATTAAATAAAATTTTATCATAATTATATAACCAATAGCATTAATTTTGAGGAGAATTAACTGTATTTTAAGGGTCTAGAGAATATTTAGAATACTTTTACTGGAGTAGTTCGAGGAATGTATACAGATTGAATAAAATTAATGAAATAAAATATTTAAGAACATTAGTTATTATTTTATACAAGATGTAAGTAACAATAGGTGATTTCCATTTGATGACATAAGCATCGTTCTATCCTTCTTAACATTCAGAGAAAGTGACAAAGATAGAACGACACTTGTGTCTACTTGTGTCATCAAATGGAAAGTACTCAATGTATGAAAATATTTAGGTATTATGCAAGATGACAAGTTATAAATTTGAAGGTGGAGTCCATAAGATACTTCGAACAATTTAGAACACTTACTGGAGTAATTCGAGGAAATTAAGGAAATATATTTAAAGATATGTATATATTTTGAATAAATAAGCCTATATTACATAAATTGCTTTTCATATTCTCTTAAGTTGTAATAAAATATTTCAAATGGCTTGAGAGTTGGAATATGATCATTAACGTATTTACAAACTACTGTCGGAAATAAAACATCTGTTCTGTTAAGTGTTCTTTTGTATTTTTATCGATATCTATTTTTATCAACTACTATACAAATGAAAAATACGGAGTAAATTGTACAATGTACACGCAGCAAACGGACAAGAGATCGTACCATCGTATGAATATTTTGGGGCCCTGAAAAGGGCCATTTGTTATACTCGCTGCAAACCAGAGGTTATTGTCTCACATAATCAGTTTACGATTATGCTTTCTTTTCCGTTTTCTTCGGCAACAGCACCGCTTGAATGTTGGGCAAGACACCACCTTGAGCGATGGTTACGCCGGACAGTAGCTTGTTCAATTCTTCGTCATTGCGGATGGCGAGCTGCAGGTGTCTCGGAATGATTCTTGTCTTTTTGTTATCGCGAGCTGCGTTGCCGGCTAACTCCAACACTTCAGCGGCAAGGTATTCCATCACGGCGGCCAAGTACACCGGTGCTCCAGCGCCTACGCGTTCGGCATAATTTCCTTTTCGTAATAATCGATGAATACGGCCCACGGGAAATTGTAATCCAGCTCGGTTGGAGCGACTCTTCGCCTTGCCTTTAATCTTGCCTCCTTTGCCACGTCCAGACATCTTGACGATTTAATCGAGCGTAAGTAGCTTCCGTGCGAACCGTACGATGGCAGAACGCGTTCTGAGGGAGCGCTGCAAAATGAGCTGTATTTATAGGCAATGCCGTCAGTAACGTTTCACCAATAGCGTGCGAGCGAAGCTGCTATTGGCTGAACGCTGATATGACGGTTGATATTTGAAACTTTCAACATTTATTTCTATTGTTATTCCCATTATTTGAAATAAAGTACAAATGAATAAAGTATAAATAACGGTTTAGAGAAAATACTTAGATTAATTCAGATAATAATTTATGTGATTGATGCTCGTTTCTACCAATGTAGATCACTTTAATCTCAATTTAAAGATACATATGTCTTTTTTAATTTTTATAA